TGTTTGATAACGAACTTGTATTTACAACGAATATGAAGGCATCGCTATTTTAAGTGTTTTTTTTTTAATTATTTCCATGCCTCTCTTAAATTTTTCTTCCTTCATTACCGTTTTATGTATATGTTTCTTTAACCTTCCAAGTGTCATCGTGTGCGTCTCAAAAAGGCTCAACCATCCTACAAAATATTTTACGCCAGCGCATAGTGTGGAAACGCAGAGAAAATAAGACAACCTAACCGCAGCCTGAGAGATGTTAATTAATTTAATTTTTTAATCAATTACTCGAAACTATCGAAAACATAGCTGTAAGCATTTCTCCTACAGTAAAATTAAACATGAAAAGTAGAGTAGTTTTCATGAATAACTTGGTTTGTTTACGTTAACTGGAAGGAAGGAAGTAGATTTGAAGTATTTACAGTTGATGGAGACTGTTTTCGTAATCAACTAATCAGTTAACAGTTATTCGTCGGAGAAGAAAATACTTCCCGGTGTTTCCCTTATCCAAAGGCATATAACTGGTGAGTTTCCTCCTCGAGGCTAAATGAAAAATACGCGATAATCACACTATACTTGCGGCTCAAGCCAAACATGCCAAAATGTTCATCATGAAGTGAACGGGTCGATTTGATATTTCACTGAGCTGTTCAGTCTTCAGAACAAAGGAGAAGACATGCAGCTTTATGTTCATCAAACGAAAATGAACTCCCACCCCATCGTGTTTCTTAGAGCCGTGTTTATGAAAAAAGCTTTACTGCTGTTAAACATGTTAGAACACTCTTTGGAAACTTCGTTCCATTAGTTGGACAATTCTATTGCTGTTACAAAAGCGACTATTTAGCAGGTCGGCCATCTTGGTAAACGATTTTTTTTTCGGAAAAATTATTGGGGAAAAAATAGAAATAAAAGGATTATTGAGTTGAAAGAAGACATGATTTGAGGGTTAAGTTTCATCTTAGTGCAAGACCAAATTAATTTTACCAAGAAAACTACTTTGAATCACTAATCATCTTGTGGTAGATTAGAGGGCTAACGAGAGAAAGAAAAAAAAAGAAGGAAAATCTCATGAAACAATTGCATAAGGAATTCTTGCACATTCAGTAGTCGATAACCAAACTTTATCCGAGGGTCTTTATGGGGGGTAGCTCTGACGGCTGACGGTTATTTTTTCCCGATTTTGACTACTAGCGGTTAAATTTTAGGGTCTTGGACGGTTGACGGTTACATTTTAGGTTTGATGATAATCAGTTAGATATTTCTTCAATGAGTTTAAGTTAATATTAAGTTTTATGTCATTTCATATAGATTAAATTCAGTCTTCCTTTGACTTAGTCAGTGGAGTGTAGCGTACTTCCAAGACCTCAAACAATGATCAGTTTCAAACAATAACGTACTTCTCACTGTTATACGTGCAAACCATCGTAGCTGAATTTTATAGACCTCACTCTTCAAACTGGATTCGTCACGGCGGTTGTCTGCGGCTGTTACATTGGGCGATCAATGGCATTATATTCCAGAACGCTTTTAAATGGGGCAGTTCGTTTACATTTCACTCAAAATTAGTTCCTTCTCTGAGATATTGTTGTTATGTAGTTGATATATAGAGGTATAACAACTATAGCCACTATTTGGCGTGAAAACATGCACGGATATTTTTCCGCGGACGTTATCTATGCCGAGATGCGAACAGTTTTGCGACAGCGGAGCTCAAAGAAAACTGTCAGCTTTAAGGAAGAGGTAAAGTCCAAAGAAAAGTACACAAGCATCTCTTCACGCCAAATGGAAGCTATTGTATTTATTATCCTTCAAATATTTTTGAAACACGCGGATAAACTGTTTACCAAAAACTTACTGTTTGATGAGCGGAATGTTTACTTTTTCAGTGTTCTCTGGTACGACTTTAAGAATAAACAAATATGTCCCTTCTTCTTTGACAATAGCGAAACGCTTTTCCATCTTGAATTAAATTATAAACGAACGCTTTCATCCGCGTAGTTGGAAAAGGTTTAAAAATTGGGGAATATCACTTGAGGTTTAACCCGTGCAATATCTCTTAGTTTTAGCTGTCGCAAGGAGCGGTGAGGTGAATTCAAAGATCAAATTTTGCTGAGGCTTTTAATTTTCGGTCCACATCTTGTAACAAAATATCTAATTATAGGAAAGTCCCTCGGCTTTTTATCTTCATTTTTCATTAATTCAGTTTCCGAGTCGCTTTCGTACTCATCAACATGTGTTGGTTCAACTTCAACGCTGGTATGGAATCGTGGCACACTTGTGTCTTTAACAAACGTTATTTTTAGCCAAAAAAATATTTTGCAGCCATAGAATTAACAGATTCATTGTGTTTACAACAAAACAAACCTTTCCACACATTGTTGGAGTTTGGGCTGTGCGTAAAAAGCTGCGGGAGTGTACTTGATTTGTCCTTTGTGGTCTCTGCTCTAACAGTCCTCTGTCTCATTGGTCTGTATTTCTCTATCCAATCTTTCATGACAACTTTCCTTTCTTTAGAATTGTCTCAGAAGACAGAAGTTCCATAACACGGACAGACTGGAAATACATAATACAATGGAGCACTAGGCAATAACTCACTGTGGCTCTTGGCGATGGGGAGTTCATTTTGTTCATTTTCACGTCCAGAAAAAAGGTTTTTTATGTTCTGTGATAAGTGCTAGAATTATTTTCTTCTTTGCTCATATACTCGTTGTTTTCCGAATTAATCTGTCTAATTTCCTCGACTTGTTTCTATGGTTACCCTTTATTTTAATTTGATTAAAGGTCTTTTTTTGAACGTAATTTTCTGTTGTCTGCACTCTTACAGATTATAGCAATGACTACAAACGTAATGACTTTTACCCTCTTCTCGAATATTTTGAATATTTTTATCGTAATTTCTATGATCAATGATTTTGGAAAATTGCGGTCGAAGAGGTGAACTGAGACAGAAATATTTAGCGGTATTAGATACATTAACAAATGGTTGTACTATAATAGGCAGGGACAGAATTAGCCTTCCTTAGAACATTAGAGTGTCAACACAGAGTCAAGGTCACACATTATGATTTTCCAAAGATATAATGTTAACTGAGAACTAGCTTTATTTTTAGATAGAAAAATTTATTGCATGTAAGTATCAGGGAAGGGCGGTAACCTAACCCCGCTAAACAGCACAGGTACTGATATACTCAGCTGTGTCTGCGAAAAGAATCCTGGGTGACTATTGTGTAACCAGTTAATTTAAGTTAAGGTATCTACTGTGCTTTACTTTGCGTAGAAACTCAAAGTGTTGGCCCAACCACTTGGACGTTTTTAGTTCCGTTTTTCGCCTGCTATCGGACGCGCCAGAAATACCCCTACTACACTGGATTTCTTTAAAGCCGTTGATGGCTGTAAAATTTTCCAAGCTATACAGGGTTAACTTTCGCTTACAATCCTTCAAAAAAATTCTCATTGGTAAATCAAATGAGCGAGACAAAAGGAAGCAACAGGTATCAAGTAATATACGCCTTCAATGCAAACGCTGAAAAAGTCAAGGAAATTATATTCTGACAGATCAATGACGGACAGTTGCCAACAGTAGTCTTGACAGACAAGAGCAATCTTTAATTTTCAACCCCTATCATATACCTGTATTTAGCAAATAAAATTTCTCCGTTGTTCTTGATTTATCAGACAATACAGAAGGAACCTGGGTGATTGTCGGAATAATCGATAGTTGAACGAGAAGTAAAGAGGCACCTTTCGACAAGTCAGTTTCATTTTGCTATCATCACCTTGTTGTTTGACCTGAAGGCGGCGCATCTCACCTGTATGTGTCTCACCTGTCTCTTTAACTTTATGGCCCTAAACAGGAGTCGCGTGATACCAATTTTTCTAGCTTTTTTTAGCCTTTTGAAACAGCTTTGCTGCTACGAAGTTTTTTTTTACAGTTATCATAACTGTTAAAAGCGTGGGATTGTCTCCTTGACACCCAGGGTTGTTACTGGCTGTTAAGTGTCATATATCCATAGTTGTATGTTCAATATCTTAAGAAGACGATTGTTGGACAACTGGTACCGTATTTCACTGGGTTGAACCTTGTCCTATCTTTTAAACCGTCGTTTTCTTTCATTTAACGCCAAATCCTAATCACAGCTGTTGTTTGTTTTCAAATAGTCGATCGTAACACGGATGATTTTACCTTTTCGAACTTAAAAAATTTTTCCATGCTCTAGCTTGTTAGCGCCAACTGAAATTTAAAAGATAACGTACATCAGGTGATTTGTGGAACTCCTTCCACCTTGCTAGTTGTTCTCGAAGTTTGCTTAAATTTTACGTCAATGAATGAAAGGAAAAATATTACATCCTTTTGTTTCAGCTGAGGGTGGAAAAAGTCACGAGGGACAGCTGTGCATGTTCCGGTTCGCTCTTCAAGCATTTGTCTTAATGAGGACATAAATGAGAATTTTAGCCTCTGTTTAGTCTGTACCGCTGCACGTTTCCTGGATTATTTTTTCTAACCTAAAGAGAAATGACTTAATCAACTTCATTAACTCTTCGAAGGGCACCGAAACATTTATTTTAATCAATCTCAGTGCACTTAAAACGCAACAACCTTACTGATAAATTCAGACTTTAACCGAACTTTTGGTTTCAACTAATTCTACCATACTCTTTTTCCTGAGTGGTTAATTCATATCAAAATAGATATTAGATATTTGTTTATGCTCAACTACTATGTTTTTCAATAACATAATTCTTCTCATCACTGCTTTTTTACTCCTCTTCGTGAGAACTCTTAACATTGATGCCATTGTCCACAGAAATTCAAACCATAACATCGAGACGTCGGGAAATTCATTTTTTCTTTCAGTTTTGTTTTTGGATCACCAGATGTAAGTTGACTCCCACAGAGCTCGGGAGAGTATAAAATGTGGTTACTGTTGAGATTTACTTGCAGTTGGAACAGTCAGCCGACAAGAGAGGAGATAAGCAGAACGGAGTTAAAAAGACTTCAATCCAAAATGAGTTCATCTTTGTCGTGTATGTTTCTTTTGATTTGGATTATCTGTATCACCTCTTTGATAATTGAAAAGGTGGGTAAAATTGTTTCTACAAATTAAACCTAGCTTCGAAATGAATTAATATATAGCTGGCCTAACTGGGGTAAGATTGCCGGTTTGCATTCTGGATCTTGAAAGCTTTGGCCAGGGTAACCTTTTTCATGCAATAAGCTTCATTTAAGCTTTTGGTTGAGTTTTTCCTTACAATAAGCTTCAAACTTTTGTACGAGTTAACCTTTCAAACTTTCTTACGCAATAGCCAAACTTTTTTAAATGAGTTATTCGGCTTTTCCATGCGTTGACCTTGGAAATTATTGCTTTTCCAGTGATGCACGTTTTAGCTTCGATTAATCTTTTCAGGTTTTTCCATGCACTAAGCATATCCCATCCCGATCAGTTTATCAAAACCTCTGGCAGGCTTATTTATCGCGGTTCTTAAGCGATACTGCGAAGTGTTTAAAAGTAATTTTGAGTTACACCAACGATAACTCGGTCCACAAATATTTTCTACAACTCATTTTGCCGTCAAAATGGGGTTTTTATGCGGGAACGAGGAGAAAGTGAAGCAGAAGAGTGATTGATAAAGAGAGTAAAATAAACTCTCCTTACACCGAGACGAGAGCTATCATGATGAAGGTCACATCTCCTCTTCGTTATCAGATAGCGTTGAAAATGATATTAGAAATATATGACGTTTTACCTTTGGATGTCATGGCAAAAAATGTATCCCTAAACGGCTAAAAGACAAATTAAATAAATTGAAGAAAGTAATGTGTTGGAGAAGAGTTCAGGCCTCGACAGAGCTTGAATTCTCGTCTTTTAGGTCCAGTGTGGTTTATCAACTGAGCATCGAAGCCTCGTGTATCAGATAAGAAATTACGCGTGAAATAAATAAAAGTGTTTGACCAGTGACGCGACGTATTCATCCCCATAATTAAACTGAAATTAAAAAAATTGTAGGAAGTAAAGAAAGCTTTGTAGTTTGAACAAATACAAAGCCGTATTTAGTTGGAGAAGTTATTTTTAGGTCATCATCAATAAACATGATTTTAGTTATTTGAGGCCCTTCGTTGTCTAACAAAACAACAGTTCTGAGACCTTTTATAACTTTAGTTTTCTTTGTTTTTTTTAGCTTGCTATGAAATACTTCAAGCACTTTATTCCGTATTTAGTATTTAGTTGGGGAAGTTATTTTTAGGTCATCAACAATAAACATGATTTTAGTTATTCGAGGCCCTTCGAAAACAACAGCAACAAAACAACAGTTCTGAGACCTTTTATAACTTTAACGATTTTTTAGCTTGTTATGAAATACTTCAAGCACTTTGTTCCGTATTCGTACAGGAAGTCCAGTGTGGGCATTGGAAAGATCAGACGATAGGTTGAATTAATTATTTTGATAATACATTTAACTTACAGGCATACTTTTTAAATAAGTCACAGCCACCCACTAGCATAGCATGATCTCCCCAATTTACCATTCCACTGTTTGATTAATGAACTAACCAGTCATTTGCATGCCTTTGGCGCAATCTTGAATTACGTTATCATGTGCCCGTCAGGTTTAGAGGAGCAGACGCTCTTCATGATCAGTGGTTACGCTTAGCTGGAATAGTTTTTCCCTTTTGGTATACAGGGCTTTGTGGAAGGCGGGAAAAGAAGGAAACAATCCAAACAGTCGTGGCTGCCCTCGCTACCGACAACTCATCACAAGGTAACCATGATTAATCTGCTACTACACTATCATGGTTGGCTTAAAAACAAGTTGTGGCAATTCAAAAACTCTTGGACTGCAATTTTGAAACTTCCTTTTTATTCACCAGGGCATTGCAGGTCAGAGCACATGTAAAACTGAGAGAGATTGTTCTAAAGACGAATGCTGCGCTCTCTTAAAGACGAAAGCTGTGAAAGTCTGCAAGAAGATCAGTTTATTTGGGGAGATATGCAATCCATATGAAATAGTAAGGACTATCTTTTTTTTCACCTTAAAAATAGTGATTGATTCAAACTCAGGGCGTGAAAGGTCTTAAAGGACACTTTTAAATTAATTTTGATTCGATTCGTCGTAAAAGCTCAGTTTTTCGTTAAGTGCATTCAGATACCGAGCAACATGGTCGGATTTTAGGTTTCTTAATCGTATTTTCTCTTTATGTGGCCTTTGTAACTGGAAGTTACGGGCGCGCAAGTGCCTTTTCGGAGAAAAACTGCCTGGGTCTTAAGAGGAACTAAGAGGAGTCAAGTTGAGGTCCCACTTGCTCTAAATCGTGGATTTTTCGCATCGCCCTTCGTCTTTGCAGCGATGACTAACTAATCAACCACCTTAGATGTTTGATATGCCAACCATGCATGCAGGGATGCTATCCTCATTTAGAATCATTTTCTAAAACGACAACTGAACTACAATTACCATGCTTATGACTCAGCAACACAAAAACCACGATATATATCCTGACCTTGTCACGAATATGTTTTATCTGAAATCCCCCTTAAGGTCATTCATTGGTGCCGTACCGCATATCCTTACTTTGTATAATTTCATGTTGGTTTGAAATCGTTCATTAAGAAAGTGGTGAATTTTTCCTTATTCCCAAGCTCACCAGCGCGCATGAAGTTAATAAGTCGCCTTTGTAGTAGCTTACCGGAAATTGGGCGACAACCATTTTTTTTCCAAACTCCGATTAGTCATCTAGAATAAGAACCAACGTCGTAAATGCGAACTAATGAGCACTCTAAGAGATGATCATGATAAAATCATTGAAAGGTACTTCTTTCCCCCCTGTAACTTTCCACGAGGTAAATAGCAGTACACAAAGTTTCAGTGCATTTTCTTTACCAGAGGAATGGCTGAAGTATGGTGAGTGAACAAATTATTATGATAAACTCTTTTTTTGCAGCCTGGCCTTCCCGAAAATTGCCTCTGTCAACAAGGACTGACTTGCATGCGAGCGACAGGAGAGGCTTTCAGATGTCTGTATATATCTGGCAGCCCACTTGATCGAGAGAATGACGGAGAGTAATAAACGGCGATAACAGTGTTCATCATCGGTCATTGTGTAGTAGCTGGTTATTTTAAATGTAACATTTCATGTTTAAAGCTCTTTTGCTTATACCTTGCTTCTGCTTGATGTACAGGCGTGCCTATTCCTTTAAGAGGTGGTGTATTTTCTGAAATTGACGTATGTTTAATGCTTCGAGGTCTTAGCTAGTCTCAGAGCTATGGCTTTTGCTACTGTTGACAGTTACGAAAGCTGTCAGCCCTCTTTCTTGTACAACATCAGGCGTTCTGCCGCAGGATAGAACGTCGGAGTTAGAAAGTTCCGATTCCACAGAAATAGAATAAAGATTTTGCATTTCCTTTGGTTCGTTTTTGGTTTTAAACATGGGGCCACACTGTACCCTTCGTTCTTTCCCGAACCTCCAATTGGAAAATCGTTGAAAAACTTAGTTGTAGGCAGTTGAAAATCAGGTTGTCAAAGGATAAAACAGACCGCGGCCTATCAATTTCCACAACAATTTCGTTAGTCTGAACCGTAACCTTGAAAATCTTCAGACTCTCTTGCACGAATTAGACTTTAATTTCAATATTGTTGGAGTAACGGAAACAAACGTCACTTATCCTTATCCACAGATATTTATAGCAAGGATACCAGGCTACATATTTGAATATGTTCCAACACCCCTGACGTAAGGAGGCGTAGAAATTTTCATTGATGAGTCTTTTAACTTTCGCGTCTTAGATGTGTTTTGCATTTTTACAAAGTAAATAAGACAATAAACAAGCATGCACCTAGAAAAACAATTTCCAACTGTATAAAAGCAAAAAAAACCTCCAAACCATGGATTACTAAGGCTTACGAATATCCATTAGAATCAAAAATAAACTTTATGCATCTGGTGAAGTGAATAAGTTGAAAATACATCGCAATAATATTTGCCCCTTAACGCGCATTAGTGAACAGCAAAATCATTCTAAATTACTTCATAATAATTTAGCTGACGTCAAGGCTGCAGTTTCCTCGCTGAAATTATTAATTTGTCTATCTCAACTATCTCAAATTTGTCGAACTCAATTTGTTTACCTAAACTAAAAAAAAAGTGGCAAAGGTCATACATATTCTCAAGGCAGATGTCTTCGAAACATTGATGCACAGTAAAATGAAATATTTCATCGAGAAAAAAAATTGCTCTCTCCCTCTAAATACGGCTTCCATAAACTGCATTCAACTCAGCATGCAATTCTAGATATCGTAAACACCTTCCAGACGAATATGGACAAACGCTTATTTATGTGGAGTCTTTTCGATCTGAAAAAAGCCTTTGACACTGTCGTTCTAAACATAATCCACAAGAAGTTAGGTCATTATGGATTCCGTGACGCAATAAATAAATAGTTTTCATCTTACTTGCAAGGCAGAACCCAGACAACTCAAATTGATTCGCATGTATCCGCAAGAACCAACACTATCTGTGGCGTACCGCAAGGCCCACCACTGTTGACCCACTACTGTTTCTAACCTATACCCATCGCCGTTGCCTACAACAACAAGACGTACGCGCTGTTTTCAAGTCGGAGACTACGCTAAGATCTCAGTTAGTACGACCAAAATACGCTGTCGACCCGGCTAAACAAGATGGCGTAGTTTACAGGATTCCATGTGAATGCGGCACGTTGTACATCGGAGAGACTGGAAGACCTACGCAAGACAGAATTAAGGAGCACGATCGAGACATTCGACTCGCCTCAGAGCATGCCCACAACACTGGACACAAGCCACTAAGGAACGAAGTAAAGTTTATTGATCGTGACCGTTATTACTACACGCGCAGGATCAAAGAGGCAATTCATATAAGGCTTCGCCCTAACAACATCAACAGGGATAGTGGAAAAAAAACTTTCAGAAGCGTGGATCCCCACGATCAAAAAACACAACAACAGGAGAGCCGTGCGACAGCGGACCGCCGAGGGAGCAAATCACTGAGTGAACAGCAGGGATCGAAAAGTACCAATCAGAGCTGTTGAAAAAAAACTAATCACAGCAGAGCATCATGCTCATGATCACACATGACCAGTCGATGAATAACAGACGAAACGTCGCGATCTACATCACACGTGACTACATCGTGAGACAAACGAAAAATGATATCACCACGATGAATACGATTATACCGATGATATCTACGAATCCTCCGACAAACTTAATTTTTTTTCTATTTGCTGACGACACAAACATTTTGTATGCTAAAAAAAACCTATTATCACAATAGGAAATTGTGCATCAGGAAATCTGCAAACTGTGTGATTGGTTGACGGAAAATAAGTTGTACTTGAATATAAAGAAAACAAATTTCGTATTATATTGTACCGCTAAAACAAAACTTACTTACCAACCCCAAATAATGAACTTAAAAGAGAGTAGTCTTGGAATGCAAGGAATTTGTGAGATATCAAGGAATTTTAATCAACAATCATCTGTCTTGGAAACACCATATTAAACGTGAAGCAGTCAAAATTAGCCAAACTGATAACTAACCAGACTGATCTCTTAATTGCGATATTTAGTGCCAAGACATGCTCTCTTAAGCATTTTTCTTTTTCGTTTTTCTCTCATCACACCATATCTAGCTTATGGTCTGATAGCTTGGGGCCAAGCATATAAATCGTACCTTTACACGCTTCTTAAGCACCAAAAACGTGCTCGGGAATGTCTGGAATGAGTTGTACTAGAAATTGAGAAGTCTTTCCAAAATGAGTTCGTAGAGGAGCTAAAGGGGAAGCTCTTAGAAATTCTCACTTTAAAGGACTCCTATATCAACAATCTACAAATCATTCGAAAGGTCAAGTTTTTCTGAAAGTTTTAATTAATGCCAGCGAGCTTTTTAGCAGCCAAAAAAGTTATTACATCCTTGGTTAGTCCTTGGGCAAGGAATTGGCGGTTCGAGATCAGTTTCAGGAATATTATCTCAGAACTGAGCCAACTCTGTATACCACTTTTCATACAATGGAAATTATTTTTTTTACATCATGTCGCGAAGCTTTCTGATTGCTTTTTCGGGATAGAGTAGCTGAAGTCACCCAGCAGCGCAGAAGCGAAGCTTCGAGAAGAGAATGGTGTGACTGAAAGTTACCCTCGCCGTGACCTTGATGGGAAGAGAGCTTTAGCTCGATTGGTCTTTTTCTAGTGATCTCACGACATAGAAGTATGTGATTTTGCTATTTTGTAGTTTTCAATTGCTGGATTTAATTTTTCTTCAATTTAACTTGCGGCAGGGCAGAAGCAACGCTTCAAGCATGTGATGGCGAGCGTTAAAAATTTTGACAAGCCTGGTGGGAAGAGTTGACTTTTTTAATCGACGATAGGTTCGTCTCGAAATAATTGCGTCACATAATGTGATACCAGCACGTTGCTTTTTCTTTGATGAATGCATCGATGATGAGACTTTGGGGGCATATTTTGACAAAAAAGAGAATAAATCGATTGTTTCTGTTTTTTTTTTGTTTTGTTTTGTTTTTTTCATCAACATACTTCTTGGTCACTGCGTCTTCGTTGTCAGTTGGATTGACACGATTGACGATCTTTTCATCGTTCATCTCTTTACTAGTTTCTTGAATTGATTTACCAGGATTGCTTGGGTCTATTGAGAAACTAATTTTTAATAGTAATTTTCAAAGCAACGAATTACTTCAGGAGGCAACTCAGCTCCAAGAGGAACATTCCGAAGCTCTTCTCTAACGAAACCACGCTTTGGTTCATCTTTCAGATAGAGGAAAAGTGGCTCATTCTTATTCCCAATTTATCTCTCAATATTGAGGACCTTCAGAGACCAAACGGGATCTGTTGCTCCTCTTTGATCACCTTCCTACTCACCAGCGACATAGAGATATCTCGCACTTCTTGAAGAGTCGAGTCTCTTCCCTTCCATGCCAACAGACCTTGAATAAATGGTTGAACCCATTCGCGTCAACCACCTTCTCTTTGATTGCGTCAACAGGTTTCTTTCCTGTCAAAATGGTCACTTCATTATTCAAAGCTGAACCAACCTCAGGAAGCCCCTTCACCCATTCTGTCGATCTCTTTCCCTATTTAAAGTTAATCTCCTGACTGCATTGGAAAGTGAAGAGACGTTCACCTAAAGCTCCATTGAATCACTCAACGGTTCCCTGATCCCTATGAAAGTTCACATTCCCTCTTCTTATCCTTACATCATGCTCTGCCACCTCTCTTGTGACATCACCGGTGAATTCACGTCCAGGATCAACTTGCAGAACTTTTGGGCATCTCGATGGTCCTCGCTTATAGATTGTCTGAAAAGCTCTTGAGACCTCAGTAGAATCCTTTGAGGTGAGAGGCTCGGCAGCCTTGAATCTAATTGTAACATCAACAACTGTCTATGCATATTTATAGACTTTCTTCCCTCTCAGGAGCCTGTCATAAGGAAGGAAAAGAAGATCAGCTTGATGAACTGCATTTGGAGACCCAACATTAAAGTTGGTCTCGGGATATGCTTTCGGGCAGGCAAATAAGTCTGCCAGACGGCTTGCTTGATCAGCTAAAGCTTTGCAGATACTTCAGCTTCTTAAGCCAACTTCTTCGCTGCGGCCAGTCCCTTCCAAAAGCCTTTAGGGCTATATTAGACTCTTGAATGTTTTCTGTTGCTCTCTTGGATGTTTTTTTCATTATATTATAGTTCAAAAGAAACTACAAACAGCCAATCCCAAAGCCAAAGCCATTCCTCCGACGTAACTCGTTCCACCTTGCTTTAGTTGAACACTTGGCTTGTAGGAGTCGGAAAGCTGTTGTTCTCTCAGATCAAGATCTTGATTATGCGCCTTGATGTACAGCTTCAAAGCATAATCTGTGTCCACCAAAATCTGTTTTTCCTGCTCCTTGACTTTGTTATTAATTGAAATCAATCGAGGAGCTTTGTTCGATTTTCTTCATACTTTTCATAGGTTCTTTAGCATCCATTTTATTCGTTGATATATGATTTTAAGTTCCTAACAGTTCCTTACATAAGTTCCTATTCAAGTACCTACACAAGTTCTTTTCAAGTTGTTATGCAAGTCATGAAGCTCTTTTAGATACTCAAGATCCACCTCAAGAATGCAAGGGCTATTTCTCCAGTTGTGAAAGTCGGTCATCCACTTCAAACCTCTGACAGGAAGAGGCTTGCACATTGCCCATCTATAAATATTTTTTGCATCAAGACAGGTGATGCGTTTCGTTGGCTTTGTTTCATCAAAAGCTTCACCCGTATATGGAGTATTTGCCCGTGCAAAGCGATTTGAGATCTGAGATCATTGACTTCACGACTTCCTTTT